GAGGTGCCAATAGAGGCTACTCTATTAGAGAGGTTACTCCCCGAATTACATTAACAGCCTCTTCGTCTGTAGCAAAACATTTTCTGACAACTGGTGCTGGAAAATGTAAACCAAGGGTACAGCTACAGATGCAGATCTCCTCATTCAAACCATTACACCTTCAAGCTTGTTAAGTGAAGGATTTTCATTTAATAAAACTCTGTTCCTTTCTCCGTAGGGTCAAAATTCTTAACTTATGCTTGATCTGGCTGGTGAATGTTTGTGTATTTGCTTCAAAAGTGGAAAGGATAAACACACCGGGACACGGTTTCAAAGGAGGGGGCACATTTGTAAAATGATATGAAAAGACTTTCATCTAAAACCCTGTTTATTGGCAATCTGTACATTGATAATAGATACATGATTTATTTATCATTCAGTGCAACAAATGAATATCAACTATATCAAAATAATATCAAATAGTTGATATTCGAAACTACATATAGTTTACAGCTGTGGCCTTTGTGATCGTCTTGCATTTCTATGGGGATTTTGACCTCTTTTTAATCGTTTTGTATCTCTTTGTAGCCAAGGGCTATTCTACATTCAATTTAAATTCAATTCAACTCAATTTATTTTGTATAGCCCAAAATCACAAATTGGCCTCAGAGGGCTTTCTGTACACATATAAAATCCTCTGTCCCAGGACCCTCACATTGGAACAGGAAAAACTCCCACAAAAAAAACTTTAACAGGGAGAAAAGAGGAAGAAACATTTGAGAGAGCAACAGAGGAGGGATCCCTCTATCAGCATGGACAAAGTGTGATAGATGTCATGTGTACAGAATAAACAACATAACAGAGTTCTTTAGTTTCTTCCCTTGTCTCTTGTCTCTTGTTTGTCTTGTTGTTGAAGCTCTATCACTGTGGTCCATGTTGTTAAACCTGAGGATTATTCTGGTGTTAAGATTAAATATCAGCCACACTGTAAATAGGTGTGTTTACTTTAACAGGGAAACAAGTTGTGCCACTTACTTGATGTAAAGGTAATACAACAGCACATATCACAACTAAATCTGCACACACAACCTCCGACAGTTTGATTCCACTATACTTTTTATATGATGTTTCATAGACTGGAAAATGTTTTTCCCTTCCTCCTCACACAAACCCATTATTGTAAAATGAGAGCACTCCCTGTAGCTAATGGACCCAGTTTGACTGGTTTCTGTTGAATAGATTGAGCGACCAATACTCAGATTTCACAACGGGAAATCACCACAATCAAACAAAATATTTGCAGCATGGACATCATGACCAGGCAGTCTGATCAGAGACAGGGTCAGAGTGAGAAGGTGATAGTCTTGCATATGACAGAACCACGGCAGGAGGCAAGACCAGGGTCCAGGTATAACCACTATCCATGGAAACCTGTGAGATGAGAAAGCACAGAGACTCTGGTGAAGGAGCAAAGTCAGTAATGTGCGTTAATGGTGTCGGTGACAGAAATAATAATGTTAATAATAAAAAAGAGTTACAAAATTAACCATTTCTTAGAAATAGGTTGACTTTTAATTGCTTTGGATTTGCTAAAACACACAATGTTATGACATGTTTGAATCATCAAATCAATGGATTGGAAAATGTATTTGGGGAGTGGATAGCCTCCATTACTCTGCTCTTCATTCTCTTCTCAAAAGCTGCAGTGTTTTCAGGAGTAGGCACACACTGCAATTTAGCCTTGCACAACTCTTCATTACTAATTCATAACTGCACCCTAATGTCCCAAACAGCTCCAGGAGAATTACGGTCCACATGTGATTCTAAGGTGTCACAATCCCTCTGTCTGTCTGTCTGTCTGTCTGTCTGTCTCTTTGTCTGTCTCCAGGGCTTCAGGTTGCACCTCACACCTATTGTGCCTTTCCATTACTTGTTGCAAGCCTGCTGAACAGTGCATGTGTGCGCACACACAAACACTCCACACCTTCCCTGGGTCACGGGAACATGATACTGTTAAAGGGGACAAGGATTAAGTTCAGTGTAGTGTTTGCTCTTTGTGGCTCCTGCCAGCACTTCACACTGCAGCAGCACTGTGTTGGCATTTGATGTGATGGAGAGTCAAGTCCAGTGGTGGAAAAAGTATAGAGATTTTATGAATACATGAAATACCACAGTAAGCAAATAACTACGTTTAAATCTTGCATTTAAAATCAACATTTAAAGTAAAAGTGCATAAAGTAAAGTAAAGGTTTTTATGTATCCTTTCTTTAACCTTAATTTAACAGAAAGATCCCATTGAGATGCAATATCTAAAGTAGTAAGTAAAAGTATACCCTCTATGCAGAATTTTATAAATATATGCTATATATATATATATTTTTTAAATAATGCTCATACTCACATACTGTACTGTAGAAGTATTACTCTACCCTCTGAAATATTTATTTAAAAATTCTACCAAATTTTAATAATGGCCTTTTTTAAGGGGTTACAATGATATTTGCACTCACAGTTAAATCATGTGTCTCAAAACTGTTTCTGTTCAATTAAACAGGAAATACTACAACCAAACTTTATGCTACTAAATACCCCTAAAACTCTTACTCCTTGACACTGGTTTGCTTACAGGGATGATATCAGAGCTTTGTGAAAGTCTAAACAACAGACTCATTTTCTGAAATGTAACAGAAGTTGTTGTTTTTCTGCTCGGGTACCATGTTTCAGAGTTCTCCTTCCATTTATCCGGAACGGGTCTAGAAACTTTTGAATGTGTAACAGATTCAAAGGGGGGCACATTTGGGAAATGACTTAAAAATGTGTTAAGACTCACAACTAACTAAATAGTCTCACATTTGTCTGCTGACCACTCACTTTACACTACATGTCATCATTCAGCAGCAGCTAGCATAGCCACTTCCTTTTGCAAGCTCAGCTGCCGTGGAAAGTTGTTGCAGCTGCCACAAACAGTGGCAACTGCTGCGGCAAGTCGTAGCAGCTGAGCTTGCCACAGGAACTAAACTAAACACTAAACTAGTATATAGATGTTTGGGGTCTATATCTCTGATTGGTGATCTGTGGTTTACAATAGCTTTAATGATGTAGATCAAGCTTCATGTGATAAGGTTATTCTTATTGCCTCCCCTAAACTACTGTCCTATTGAAGCAGACAGGACAAACAGAGAAAATAAGTTATATAAAAAATATACATATATACGCACGTATATACATATATACACACACACACACACATATATATATATATATATATACAGTATATATGTGTGTTTTGAGTCTTTTTGTAGTTAGTTGCATCTCCTTGTAGTTGTTTTGAATCACTTTGTGGTCGTTTTGAGTCATTTTGTAGTCGTTTTGCATATCTTTGTGGTCTTTTGATTGACGCAACCAATAGGCTAACGTTAACGTTCAAGTCACTTCATGATAGTGGAGTATCTATTAATATCGCATTCAACAGTTGATAATATGGAACGTGTAAATAAAATGACATAAATTCATTGGTTTTATATTAGATACCTAAATACCTCTACAAACATACAGTACTGGTAACGGTCCAAAAGTAGTGGTTAGAGCTGTATGAAAGCTTCTGTATGACAATAACAAACAATAACAGCAGGTGGCAGCACTGGACTGATGTTTCACTGCAGCTGAGGTCAACTCAAGCACTACCATAGAGTGGCCTACTCCTACTACGCAGATTACTACTATTACTACTAATAATAATAATAATAACAATAGTAATAATAATAATAATAATAATAATAATTGTATAGAGAAAATGAAAAATTGGAACACATATTAGGATCCCAGTATGTGGACATTTATGTGGAAAGGCTGAAGGCTCACAGCATGATAAACTTCACGAGCACCTATTCCAGGTGAAATATGTGACATGCTGCAGACACATCAGTTGAAAAGTTCTTTATGTTACACTCATGGATGTCAGTTTATCTTTTCATATAATAATAATAATAATAATAAATAAATTTTTGATAGCGCTTTTCAAAATACCCAAAGACGCTTTACAGGGCAAAGACAAACAGAACAAACAAACAACAAACAAAAAAGAAAGACAGAGGAGCAAGCAAAACAAACAAACAGAACATTTTGGTAAAAAGAATAACTGGAGAAGCTGTGCTGAATGGGAGGGTAGGGTGCAGGGGTTAGCAGGTGAAGGCGAGGTTGAAGAGGTGGTTTTTGTGGGCTTGTTTGAATGATGATAGAGAGGGAGCCTCACGGATGTGGATGGGGAGGGCGTTCCAGAGGGGAGGTGCAGCAGCTGAGAAGGCCCTGTCACCCCAGATCCAGCGCTTGTAAATAAATCTCATAAATATGAGATGGTACCTTGAGACAAAGGTGATATATGAAGCTTAAACTTTATCAAACTAAAGGACCATCTGTTTAAATTATATGTATATTTTTAACATATTTTTACAGATATATTATTTTATTAATAATCTTATTTGTTCGTATTTTTTGCAATGATTTATCTTTTTTTCATTTCTACAGTTATGTAAAAACTAAATGTTATCTTTTTTTCTTCTTTTGGATTTTGTATACAATGTTAGAATACACGGGCACAATGGGGGCACAATTACAAATCGAAAACCGAACCAACACAGATTTGTTGCATCACGCTCTAGTTTATATATGTGCTATATCTATCTATGTATATTTGGTAATAATAATAATAACAGTAATAATAAGAAGTAGAATATATAAAAATATTACTCATGACGTGTTTTTCTGTTCACATCCATGAGTGAGACAAGCAAAGGGCGGGTTTCAATCAAACTGTACTGCGAGAGTAGTAATGTATGATAGTTGTGACGGAGGATTATATTTGAGAAGATAATGCTGTCTGAGGTGAAAATAGGATGGAATAATTACAAAGTGAGAGAATTTGCGACCATTAAGGTACTTCAAACCCCAGATAGTCTATGAAGACACAATGAAAGTATATAAATATAAATTGATGGGATTGAAATACTTTTAGGTTTGTGATGATGTGTAGACATAAGTGCCAGGAAAATAGAATATAAAAGACAGCAGGTGTTGGTTGTCTTGAGAGATAATTAATTGGTCAAAATGGGTTACCCTGCTTTCACTAGAATAAGCAGTTTGGGACCTTTTTTTGTTTGTGTCTCTGCAGATATCTTTGACAAACAGACCTAAATGAATTAGTGCCTCAGACAAATAGATTAACCGTAGGTCATGAAAGACAGGCAGTATGCTGCTGCTTTGGATTGCGTCATGTTTGCCTCTTATTATTGCTTTGCCTGTGAGACAGGCATAACCATTTCCAGGAATATGAGAGTGTGGCTGTGGTCACAAAAAGCCATAGACTTGAATGAGCTTGCCGGATACTTTCAGTTTCATTTCTCTGTGGCTTGGCTCAGAACGAAACACAGTAGGAAAGGAGGAGGTGGGAGGAGTTTAAAAGCTAAAACAAGAAGGTTGGTGGCTAAAACACAGCAGTTCAGCCTCTGGGAGCGATGCGCAACAGTCATTTGAAAGTATAGGTAAGATAGAGCTGATCTCTCTCTTACTTTACATGCAACTTTGTGCTGTTGACTTTTATCCATGAGCTATATATTCTCATATTTCCTATATAATGTTCATGCCATGGTCTAACTTAATAAGATTTTATTTTTGACAAGCTGGGGTCGTATGGGTTGGCAAGTGTAAACCTGTTCAACTTGATGGCATACGCATACATGGAATTTGACTCCGGTTTTGTCAGCTGTAAACCGACAACAATAGACAACAATGATTCATTGGGTGTGCCTCTGTTAGAACAGAATATAATCCACCGTGACCAAGAGCTGTCCTCTCTTAGTCGATTAGTCGACTAATAAGTTGTTTTGGTATTAGTCCAATAAAATGTCTCCAGTAGGACAGATGTTCTTAATGCTTTTTTCATGCTGAAGGACTTATATCCAAGAAATGTATGAACACATCTCTGATAAACAGGACATTTAAAGTGGTGCTTTTGTGGAATTATTTTGTTTTACAGATCTCTCGATTATATCAAATTATAGATAAGTCGACCAAATTCAATGAGCGGAAGCAGGGTAGGAAATTTACATACTTTTTGGGGGCAATTTTTGCCCCCACTGACTGAAATCCAAGGGCATTTTTTGAAACTTGTGAAATAATATTTAACCTTTGTTCAGAATAATAAATATACTTATTTAGGCTTACAGTATATGAGCAATTGTCATCAAATGGCAATAATAAGACTATTAGGCAGTAGTCTACAGATTCAAAGTGTTTTCTTAGATTTTTTTTAACAAAAAACAAACGTAAATCAGACAATCATATTCAATTTTATTCTTATTTCTTTGTGGTTATTTATTGTTACTACTTGTTGGCATCTTATTCTGAAAACCGGATGTTCGTCTGAAGAAACCGGATGTTGTCTCACGTTAATCTTGCCGTTAACTTTCAAAGTCCTTCGCTCGCTCCCGATCTGTGCGAGTTTACCGTGAATTTCAGGATAAAGGTGCACTACAATTTAAGTGTCTGCTCAGTTGACCGCAGTCACAGGTCTGACACTGAAGCGCTCCATTTATTTATTCGTTTAGAAAGTTCGGGGGCATTTTTTGCCCCTCTCCTAGTGATATCGGGGGCAAAATGATATTTCTTAGGGGCAGTATTGCCCTTTGCCCTCGTGTATTTCCGACGCTGAGTGGAAGTCTACTAGAATTCTTTGGTGGAGGACTGCCCTAAACCAAGATACTGTATATACTGAGTGAGACATTTTGCAGTTGGAAAACAAAATTGGCAATGCTCGCTGGAGGTATGGTGCCACTGTTACTACAAACATATCTTTACCATTGCTGTGCCATAATTTATTTTTACCGATCAGGTGGCATACAGTATATGCTAATATTGGCCGATATATAGGCCCAGACATTAGATTCTAAATGTCACCAGTACATTTCAAACAATACTTATCCCATTCATATACAGTGTTTAGGTATCTGCCTCCTCTTATTCTCTCTCTAACAGTAAGGATCATTCTCTGTTGAATTTGTGTGTGTTTTAAACACACTACTTAAACCCAGTGGCGGGCCGTGCATTTTATACCTGGGCCTTCTGTGCTGTCCTACTACAGTTGAATTACCTCCTAATAACCTCATTATGACGCAACAGCTATGGGTTATTATTTGTTTTGTGTAAAAGCCGCATATTCACATAACACTGCAACATTTGACAAGTTAAATAAAATGTTACATGAAGCTCAACACCTACAAAACACTAACTGCAGAGTGCAGATACATGAATACGTGCATGACAGGATGCTTCGTCATTAACGGACAATGCATAGTCAAAATCAACATACTTAACATAATGACAACAAACTCATAAGAACCAGTCACATATATTTATATGACAACAAAGCATGACACATCAATCCAGCAAACCTGCAGCGGATCCACGCATTCCACCACACAAGAGCACGAGACATTCAAATATTATTCATAAAAACGACACGATAGACAAATGAACAGTAGTAACGTTACTGCAGATGTAAAAAAACAAACGCAGTTTGTCACTTACCGAATGCTGTTTACTGAAAGACAAAGTCCATCCTCCTTTCTTTGCTGACAAAGAGTTTAATCCCACGGTTGTACAGAACATCGTTTCAGTTCCAGTAAGAAGACCTTCTCGATTCATGGACAGTGACAGTCGAGCCTCCCCAGTTGTATTTCGCCGGTCTGCGGCGGCCGGTTCGATCCCGGCCGCCGCAGACCGCCTGCGGCCGGTGAAATACAACTGGGGAGGCTCGACTCCAGCAGGCATCGGGCCTCTCTCCTTACACAGAGACATAGGGGCTGAATCTGATTGGATAAAAGCTCTCCTTACAACAAGCTGCACTGGAAGCAGAGCAACTGAGGAAGTCAGGAGCTGTGCAATGAGAAAATAAGCTAATGGGAAAAAAATTATAATACATGTAGTGTATTTGTGAAAAATTATTTAATTATAAAATAGCTATAACTTTGTGATTCTGTTTAGGCCAGCAGAGAAGGCCTAGCTGGCCCTGACGCCCACCACTGCTTAAACCACATGAATTGCATGGAGCTTCTTAGTAAGAGCACATACTACTGGTATACTACTTTTTAGGGTTTATCTGTAATTGATGGTCTCTTTTCTCCTTTGACAGCATCACACAAAATGGAGAAGGTTCTGGAGAATATAGTGGCCATGGTGAAGGAGCACCCAGCTGGGATCCCCCTTAAAAAGTTGGCTGTGTTTTACAGCCAGACATACCGCAAGAACCTGACTTTAACCTCCCTGGGCTTCGACTCCATGGCTAGCTTGGTGGCCTCTCTGGACAGGGATCTGGTTGTGGAGGGGGAAGTGGTTCATCACAAGACCCACTGCCGTTCAAGGCGGGCTGGAGCCTGGGCATCGACAAAAGCTACAGAAGACAGCAAGAATATGGAGAGCGTTTTGGAAGATATAGTGGCCATGGTGAAGCAGCACTCAGCTGGGATCACCCTGAAAAAGCTCTCTGTAACCTACAGCCAGACATACCACAAGAACCTGACTTTATCCTCATTGGGCTTCGACTCCATGGCTAGCCTGGTAGCCTCTCTGGACAGGGATCTGGTTGTGGAGGGGGAACTGGTGTTTTATAAGTACCGTCATCATGATAGCTGTGCTGGCGTTGGAGCTGGAGCTGGGGCATCAGCAAAAGCTACAGAACAGAAGATTGAGAAGGTTCTGGAAAATGTTGTGGCCATGATGACAGAACACCCAGATGGGATTCCTCTGAAGATGGTGGCTATAGTCTACAGTCAGAAATACTGCAGAAACCTGGCCATAGCCTCTCTTGGCTTCAAAACGATTTCCTGCCTGGTAGCATCTTTAGAAGGAGATCTAGTTGTGAGGGAGGAAGTGGTGTTCCATAAGATCCACCAGCCTCAAAATCAGCCTGTAGCTGGGAAGCCAGCAAAAGCCACCGAGGACATCAGGCCCGTTACACCACAGAGAACTGAAACACTTACTGGGAAGACTAGCGCTACCCCAAGTGCTACAGTGCCTCAGGTGGATACCAGCCCTTATTATGTGCCTCCCACCACCTCTTTATTCTCCACCCACTGTCTCCCGGTTAACCCACTCTTTACTGCGTCCAAGCCAGCGGAGAAGTTGACCCAGCAGCAGCTGTACCAGAGAGTCATAGAGGTCAGTTATGAAGACAAATATATGCACCACAGAGTATTTTTCTGTCAGGTTGTGTACTCTGTTAGCATTGGTTTCTAATGTATATCTGATCACATTTGACATGAAAGCAACAATAATGCAATAGTACTCATTTAACTTTAGCTAGTAATGACCCGGACAGCTCATGTTTCATCCGAATGTGTTGCTAAAAAGTTGACATTTCACATTGGCTAGACATGGGGTCCAAGATGCTACTGAGGCTGGCGCTAGCTTGTTAGCAAGTCAAAGTCACAATCCAAATGGAAACCCCACAACCAAAAACCTTTAAGTCTTTAAAAGGGTCAATAATATATAGTTGAATTTGTTAAAAAGGCTCATTAATATCCCAAACAGCTGGGCACTAGTTTTAGAAAACATTACTCTGTAGGAAGTTGTGTATTTGTTCGGGACTATTTTCAGTCGCAGATTATTACACATTTGGTGTATTAATCTTAAGTATTAGTATGTAGGACTGGATCAAAATAAACTCTTGAGAATTCAAAATTCTACCATCCTCATCCTATATCTAATGCCCAATAGCACGTTTCTGCCCTCGGCCCACTCTAGCAGGATAAGAGTGGGCCAAGAGCAAAAACGTGCTATTGGGCCCCGACAGCATCAGAAATACACGAGGGCAAAGGGCAAAAATGCCCCCATAATTTCCTCTAATAATAATGATAATTTAATGAACTTGTCAAAAACATCGTAGCCTATATGACCCAGTCCAGTTGCCATAGACTGGTTTTGATTTTCGCCTTGACTGATTTGCGTGTGCGTGAAGAACCAAACTTTCTAAACAAATAAATAAATGGAGCGCTTCTTAATCAGACCTGTGACTGCGGTCAACTGAGCAGACACTTAAATTGTAGTGCACCTATATGCTGAAATTCACGGTAAACGCATTCAAACGGCGCAGATCGGGAGCGAGCGAAGGATTTTGAAATCTAGCGGAAAGACTAACGTGAGACAACATCCGGTTTCTTCAGACGAATATCCGGTTTTCAGAATAAGATGCCAACAAAGTATACATATTGCATAATGGGAATTAGATTAAATGAATTATATTCACATAAAGTATAAAACATGCTACCTGCATCTCGTGAGTTAAAGGGAAAATACACCTAAATTGTGCGCAAAGTGTCTTTATTCTTTGATTTGAGGGTTGCTGGAAATGAATAATACCTGACTGACAGTCAATTAAGATATTTTACTAAGTAAAAAGTCTGAACTGAATTTGTACCTTCAAATGGCACATTTTTTTAATTTTTAAGGTGCTACAAAAATGTTTTTCTCAAAAATTCCACACAATGACTAATGCATATGTTCAGGACAAAAATGGGTAATATCACAATATTTGAGGTGCTACAAAAATATCTTTCTCAATAATTCCATACAATGACTGATGTATATATAATCAAGGCATCGTTGACTTAATAATTGTTAATAGTTGTTTAAAAAATTTAATAATAACAATAAATAACCACAAAGAAATAAGTATAAAATTGAATATGATTGTCTGATTTATGTTTGTTTTTGTTCAAAAAATCTAAGAAAACACTTTGAATCTGTAGACTACTGCCTAATACTCTTATTGCCATTTGATGACAATTGCTCATATACTGTAAGCCTAAATAAGTACATTTATTATTTTGAACAAAGGTTAAATGTTATTTCACAAGTTTCAAAAAGTGCCCCCAATTTTCTTTAAATGCCCCTGGATTTCAGTCAGTGGGGGCAAAAATTGCCCCCTAAAAAATATGTAAATTTCCTACCCTGGGCCCCGATGCCTAAGAACCATTCACTGGTTTTCTGATAATGTTAATAATGTAATGTGGGTGACATAACATTTCCGCTGCTTTGAAATTTTGTGGAACATTTTGAAACAAAAGCTTTAAATGTCTTAAGTCAAAGCAGTTCAGTTAGAAGTGGCAGACACAGACAGATTGCTAGAACCGGGGGCATGGTGTTAATACTTAAAAAGGTCAGAAAATTAAGATTTGAGAAAAAAAATATTAAGCTAATAACTTGTATATAGTGGATGTTTGAGCATATCTTTAACATACTCATCTAAAAACTGACCCTTGACATTTACAGCATGGAAAATAATTGCCACTGTCTACCTTTGTACTGTATGCAAACCAGCTGGCCAGTAAAAGTTTCTTTATGTGTTCCAGGTGATTAACAAGTACCAGTTGAGAGCTCCATCAATGGACCATTTACAAACCTGCTATTTTCAGCTGTTTGATGCACAGCTTCCTATCACACAGTACATGTCTCTGTATGACAGCTTGGAAGCTTCTTGCTCTAAGAAGCTTCCCAGTCAATCTGAACCAACAACAGATCCCGAGGCTGTTGTATTGCAGTCAACTGCAGGTAGCCAATCATGACAACATTAACTTTCATGCATTAAAACAAACATTGTCACTTCTGTACTTCTAAAACCAACATGTTTTGACATATCCTTCCACAGTAGCACAGGATCTTACGAGAGAGCCTGAAGTAGAAAACCTGCAACAGTCCATTGTGTCCAACTTCCTCTCTGGCTCTGACTTCCCAGTGCTGGGGGCAGATGTGAGCTCGACCAAAGGGAAGAAGAACAAAATTAGAGATGTAACCAAGAGAGAGGGCAGTGGCGCCATCTTTAGAGAAGCTCATCATGCCCAGCTGAGAGAGGTCCATGGTGCTAATATGAGGGCAGTACAGGCTATGGAGGAGGATGAGCTCACAGGGAGGAGGAACAGAGTCCTGGATCAGGATTCGGTCAACAGTCTGATGGAAGATGTGATACGAGACATCGCCGCAGAGGGAGAGCTGGTCACCAAAGAGAAGGTGAGGGGGAAGAGGACACATCTACTGACTGCTAATGCTCTTCTGTCTGTATGTTAAATATGAAGCTAGAGCAAGCTTAGCTTAGCATAAGGAAGAAGCAAGGGGAAACAGCAACCCTGGTTCTGTCCAAAGGTAAAAAAATATATCAGCTCACCACCACTTCTAAAATTTAACTAATTTAGTTTAATTCATTCAACAACTCGTACAACAACTTAATCCTGATGTCTTTGTTGGTTGCCTGGCAACTTCATAGTGATGACAAGAAAGGAAGTCGCTGCACCTGGCAAAGAGATAGTTCCAGCATGTTACTACAGCTTTTTATACTCGCCTCCTGTCTCTAGTGGTATCTATGAAAACGTGTATTGTTTACATCCATGATTGTTCACTAGCAGTCACCTCTTTCCTTTGCTGTTGTATTATAGCACCTAATACCGTCAGTGAAAACTGTCATTGAGTAGCTCATGTGCTCCTGCGCATATGTGTGTGCTTTTGCAATACAAACACTACAGTGACCCCCTCCCAAAAACATTGAGTGATAAAAAACTTCACATTGTACCGTTAAGTTCAAGTTAATAGCTACAAGACTAATGGTAGCTGATGGGCAGATTGGTGACTGTTCTGGGGATCTAACATGGGCCCTTTAGCTACTAAAAGGTAGCTCACGTATCCTATCTACTTATTTACTACTGAAGTGGCTAAACAAACTAATGCAATGTATCTAATTTCCTCATTGTCCTCGCTGTATCCAGGTGATATCCAGGGTGTGCAGGCTGATGCAGATTCCCTCTTTGGATGCAGGCAGGATCAAACCCTGGATGCTTCCGGCTTTAACAGATCTTCAATACGTCATGAGAGAGATCAACATGTTCATAGAGGTTGGCACACATGCATTTCCTAATACTTGTTTTGACATGGATGTTTGGTTGCTATTGAAGTATTCTCTCTCTTTCTGTCAGTCTAGTCTAGCAGTGACATCCATCTGTACCTTGTATGAGCTGGGCCAGTCACTGGCTGGACTGAAGGACAAGAAGCGTTATGAGGAGCTGAACCTGGGGCCCCTCTGCAAACTCCCCCTCATCCACCGCATGTTCAAGATAGACAGTAACACTAAGGATGATGACATCAACCAGATTGAGACGATTGACATCCTAAAGGTAGGACTCATATTTGATGAAACTGGTACTAAACATTCACCAACAAATATAGTGTAGATTATACTTTGTTAGAGCTTTGCATTCAAGCTTTACAGTTTTATATTACATAATCTGAGTCCCTTTTTGTGTTTGGACTATTAACTGTTGAACCAACAATGTTCTCTGCTGGAAAATGAAAACATGTTATTTATCACATGCACCAAATCAGTAATACCCAACAACTCAGAGAATAGCAAAATAAAGTATAAAAAAGGGCTGTGTTCCATACTTGTGTTAGTAGGCAGCACGGGCTCATTTCATTAAAGCAGCACAACAGTCTCAGAGGCTTTCCCCACACATGTTTCTAACCAAGTGTGCCATGAGTCCACAAGCACTCTTTTTATACCTCACAGAGGTATACAGTATCTGTTCTGAGTGTGTCCTCATGCCTCTGTGTGGATAGTGTGGATGGAGCCACTTCAAAGTCACGTTTGCATGCCAGCTATCTCTGCATGGTGGAAAATTCGGGTCAAGCCCTAGTTCTATCTCGTCTGAACTTTTCATTCTTTTGCCTAATGTGTCTACTCTGTTTCCATTGTTTAGCAAATTCGTGTTTTTAGGAGGCAGCAGAACAAGCCAAAAGTAGACCTGGCTGAGTTTATGAAGTATCTGGCCGACCACTACAACTGTGACTCTCCCTACGAGCTGGGTGTCAGGATACACAGCATCGGGCTGCCCATTGCGGTAAGACACACAACCCACTGCAACCTTCCGGGGCAGTTTACTCCTGAGTTATGTAATTGTACCACGACAGTGCAACTGGTATCTTATTTCACCTTATGAGTCTGTGTGTAAGTGACAGAATGTGATCCTGGAGGTGTTTTTCTGTCTGTGGACAGATTTTGTCACCGTGACTGTATCACAACTGTGCTAGATACAGTTGAGACAATCAAAGGGGTGTAGTTGAGATCAAAACGATGCAGAGTTAGAAGATGTGTGTGGTCCAAGTGAGGGTGCTGGAAGGTAGGAAGTGGGGAAGGGGCTGAAGCAAAATGGTCTCTAGTTCATCCATCCATCCATTTTCCACCGCTTATCCGGGGTCGGGTCGCGGTGGCAGCAGGCCAAGCAGGCCAACCCAGACCTCCCTCTCACCGGCAACATGTTCCAGCTCATTCTGGGGGATCCCGAGGCGTTCCCAGGCCAGCTGGGAGATATTAATCTCTCCAGCGTGTTCTGGGTCTTCGCCGGGGTCTCTTCCCAGTTGGACGTGCCTTGAAAACCTCCAGTGGGAGGCGTCCAGGAGGCATCCTAATTAGATGCCCGAACCACCTCAGCTGACTCCTTTCGACGCGAAGGAGTAGCAGCTCGACTCCAAGCTCCCTCCTGATGACCGAGCTCCTTTCCTTATCTCTAAGGCTGAGCCCGGCCACCCTACGGAGGAAACTCATTTCGGCCGCTTGTAGCCGCGACCTTGTCCTTTCGGTCACGACCCAGAGTTCGTGACCATGGGTGAGGGTAGGAACGTAGACCGAGTGGTAAATTGAGAGCTTTGCCTTCTGGCTCAGCTCCCTCTTCACCAAGAAAATTGATTTTTCTCGTTTTTTTTTCTAAGTGTTTTCAAACTTTATCCTTTTTTTTTTTCTCTAGTTGTTTTTTTTAAATTCTGCAGTTATTTTCCTTTTCACTATATCTGATTCAGTAAATCCCTGCAACAGCAGTACTCTTATTCAGTTCCATAAAAAAAAAAATCACACAGTCACTTTAATCAGCAAGTGGCAAGAAAGACATGGGAACTTAGCTTGGGTCTTAAGGAGTTGCTGCATTTATTAACCAACCAATAGCCTGAACCGTACACACACAGCACTGCTACGTTCAAAGCTATAGTGTTATGCTAACTTCATTCTCACTGCCACACACAAGCTCTCGCTCTCTTGATCGCACACTCGCTAATATTACACACACAACCTGCGCACTGAGTTATTGCTTAAAGGAGTTTGATACTTCTACAACACATTTTGGTTCAAAAAACATAAAGACATTTTCCCAATGCTAAAGCCAGACAGGGAGTCCACTTAGGTACAGCGGGCCACCGGGCTTTCAATAAACCCTGCTTTGTTTTTATAAAACTTGAAACTCTGCTTGTTTAACAATCCTTCTCTGTCCCCTTCAGACCATACTGAAGGTGAGTCGATGTGAACACTCCATCATGGAGCAAGCCAGGGAGCTCATCCAGAAAGAGCTGGAGGAGGAAACCTACGAGCGGCTGAGAAAGATAAAAAAGAGCGTGTTGGAGCCGGTGCAAGGAGCAGGTTCCTTCTCCTCCACAGGCAGCCTAGACCTCAGGAGAAATTACGCCTCCATGCCGGCAGCCGAGGTGTCGCTGGCAGTCTTCTCAAACGCAGAGGGGGTGTTCAGTCCCAAGATGGCTAAGGTGGGTTCTACACACCGACAGGTGTATTCTGTTAATTTATCTGATGCTTGTTCAGCAGCATCAGACACGCTGGCTCAGTGGCAGTGTGGGGGTTTTGTGTCGAGGCTTTTGGGAGCTCATTGGTTATGACACCCCGGTTCTGTGTCCTTAAATTGCTACTTTAAGCTGCTGGGTGTTAATTCTGCTAAGCCTCCCACCATGAGCCTTGAGGGGATAACAAAGAATTACAGAGCTCCTCTCCAGTTCAACAACAAAATGTCACCCTTAACCCTGCTGCAGTAGTTCAGTCCGTGGGAACTTAGCTTGGAAACCAGAGGGTCACTGTCGAGGGCACTGAACCCTCCAACTGCCTGTCCAGCCCCCCGCTCTGACATCTCCATTAATTCCTCTGCATAGTTCTTGTTTGTGCATGTGTGTGTATTTCAACCCTGTGTGTGTGTGTGTGTGTGTGTGTGTGTATATAATGTGTAAGTAAAAGTGAAAGTGATCGCCCTCGTGGATCAATAAAGTGTTTCTTCTTTCTTCTTAATCGTTAAGGAATTCAAATAAAAGGTTAATTTTATCTAATGAATTCTGGCTCGACATTAGATTTGTGGGTTAACTCTTTATGACAGTCGTCTACTTGTACATGTTCTGAAATTATCTTTATCCAACTTATCAAACATAGTAGGCATTTTTAATAATCATGAAGATGGATGGATGATGATCCATTCGTGTATCCCCCTATCTGGAGGTTACACCATCACGAGGAATCCAAATTGTCTTTGCTGACCTAGAAGAGTTTTGAACATAGCTAAATAATAAGAAAAGAGAAAATACAGAAATACAGACACCACTACACACTTCTAGTGGGTCAGATGTGATATTTTTCTCAAAAGTCATTTGTAATGCCATGTCTGTGACACATACCTTTGTTTAATTTCCAATCCAGCACGTCCAGAGCTTCCTTCTGCAGGTGTCGGGTAACCGGCTGGCAAAGGCTCTGTTTCAGCTAGCCATCTGTGGAGGCTCGCTGGCCGTCCCACTGGACCTGGTGCCCAAAGACAAGGCACCCAACACCACAGAACAAACTAAGAGTGAGGACAAACCCACCACCTCCCTCCCCAGTGAAGGTATTAATGCAGGATATAGTGTTTCTGCCCCACATATGAACTAATCTGATAATGTCCTCTTGATGTGTCTGGTCCAGACTATGATAGTCTATGATTTCTTTGTCTCTCTCAGCCAAAGTGAAGCAGTACCTTAAAGACAGCCTGTCCTCTCAGAACACAGCCATCACTTTGGCCCACATGGCCTCTTTGGAGAGAAAGTTGACCAAACACTTCCATGTCAAAGATTTCCTCTCTTTAGAGCAGGGCAACTTTCTGGAGTTTCTGGTTAAACACGTTCAGGTACAAGTTTTTTCATCTCAAAAGCCTTTTAGTTTGTTTACTGTCAGACTGTTAGATCTCCTGATTTTGTCCTCAGGGATATGATACTAATTCATCCTGTCTGTGGTTGTGTGCAGCTGCTGCAGGACACACTGGGCTCTACTTTGCTTCTGGGCAGCGGCAGCATGGAACTTACTGGCAGTGGTTTCAGACCCACCAGACAAGATGTGTTTGAGTTCATCACACAGTGTGGGGACATAACATCCACTGATACAGATGAAGTGAGTCATTTAAAGGCACACACGCAGCTGTTAAAACATATACCTTTTAAGTACTACAACAAAGCTCTTCATTTTCTCTGTTTCCCAGTATAATAAATGTTCTAGCAGGTGACAGGAACATTAAACATTCACCTTCCTTTTCCCAGCTCTCCCACATTGAAACAGCACTGAGAGCCCACTACAGGGTCCGGGACAGTCGGGACCTCGGCTACGGCACTCTGCAAATGCTGGCTGGCCTGGTCCAGCGTCAGAGAGGGCTGGCTGGAGGAGGGCTGAGCCAGGTCTACTACGAGTCAGCCCTGTTTGCCAAACACAGCAAATTGAGGTTAGCAGTTTTTTATCAGACGGACAAAATAGGGAGGTACGCATGGGACGATTATCCTGGTTTAAATATTTGTGATTAACGATATTATCCCGATAATCATCAAAATATGTTGCTCTAAGACAAACAGCAATCACTACACCTTACAATTTTCATTAAGGAACTAGTATTGTTATTGTTGGAATGCTGTTAAGCATTCCATCCATCCATCCATCCATTTTCCACCGCTTATCCGGGGTCGGGTCGCGGTGGCAGCAGGTCAAGCAGGCCGACCCAGACCTCCCTCTCACCGGCAACATGTTCCAGCTCATTCTGGGGGATCCCGAGGCGTTCCCAGGCCAGCTGGGAGATATAATCTCTCCAGCGTGTTCTGGGTCTTCCCCGGGGTCTCTTCCCAGTTGGACGTGCCTGGAAAACCTCCAGTGGGAGGCGTCCAGGAGGCATCCTAATTAGATGCCCGAACCACCTCAGCTGACTCCTTTCGACGCGAAGGAGTAGCGGCTCTACTCCAAGCTCCCTCCTGATGACCGAGCTCCTTACCCTATCTCTAAGGCTGAGCCCGGCCACCCTACGGAGGAAACTCATTTCGGCCGCTTGTAGCCGCGACCTTGTCCTTTCGGTCATGACCCAGAGTTCGTGACCATAGGTGAGGGTAGGAACGTAGACCGAGTGGTAAATTGAGAGCTTTGCCTTCCGGCTCAGCTCCCTCTTCACCAAGACGGTCCGGTGCAGCGCCTGCTTTACTGCTGCAGCTGCACCGATCCGTCTGTTGATCTCCCGCTCCATCTTACCCTCACTCGTGAACAAGACCCCGAGATACTTGAACTCCTTCGCTTGAGGTAGGCACTCCGTCCCCACCTGGAGGGAGCAATCCACCGGTTTCCGGCAGAGAACCATGGCCTCAGATTTGGAGGTGCTAACTCTCATCCCCGCCGCTTCACACTCGGCTGCAAACCGCCCCAGTGAATGCTGGAGGTCACGATCCGAGCATTCCAACTATTGTTATCCTAATCTTTATTCTTCTTTTTATTATTATTATATTTCTTCCGTCCCACCTCTTCTGCTCCTTCATATTTTATAATGGGTGTGTATTGCGCAGTTTAGAGTGCGTGATGTCACCGCTAGAGTGAAGAGCAGCTTGAGATTTTTGTGAAAAAAAGATTTCTGTTTTGCCACTGTGTCCACAATCTTCACGCATCATTTCTGGATTTAAAAGTAGCTAATATTGTCCTTGTCGTTGACAAATGACTGTGGAATCCCACAGATTTACACATTTGGCACAGAAGCCTGTAGTTGAGAGGAAAACCAACTTTCTGCTCCATAGACACCAATGTTAAATTTTGCTTCAAAAACATTTTCCACAGAACACGGTACCCCATTTCTAGATCGCCAGTTCAGCCACATTTTTTACACTACAGACACAATTTTTACAGGATCTGTTCTTCAACTCATCCTTCCTCTCATTCATTAATATCGGAGCAATAGGAGCTACGGTTATGGGAATTTTGAGGATTTGTTTGAGAGGTGTTTCCCTGTTTAATCTCCATGAAACGGCTGCAAGGACACAGGTGTTTCTGATTAAGCTAATTAGTGATGTTGATAAACACACAGACTCACAGACACACACGCACTCTTCTCTCTCTCTCTCTGCGTGTCTCTCTCTCTCTGTCATTCAGGTCTTACAGCTTTTTACAGGACCCCCCCCCCCCCCATTTTAAAATAAAAGCCCCACAACATGAATTCTAACTGAAATGCTTGTGATGAAGCCTGTCATTTAATAACCTGTTTATGTTTATCTAACATTATGATTCTGCATCCTCTTCCCTCCCCATCCCCCCACCCCATTTCAAAATAAAAGCCCCAAAGAGTGAATTCTAACTGAAATGCTTGTGATGAAGCCTGTCATTTAATAAACTCTGTTTATGTGTGTCAAACATTACGATTATGTCTCCTCTCTCCCTCTCTCCCCCACCCAGTCCCACCCTTTCAAAATAAAAGCCTCATGGATTAACTATACGTTAAGCTCAAAATTAGGCTTTTTTCGTTGAAATAATGAATGCTCTTACTAATACTGTGACAACTACTACTACTGCTGCTAATATTTATAGTATTACTACTGCTCCTACTACTACTACTTCTACTGCAACTTTTGCTGTTGCTACTATTACTACTACTTCTACTGCAACTTTTGCTGTTGCTACTATTACTACTACTGCTACTGCTATTACTGCTACCATCAATCTTATTACTACCACTACCACTACTACTATTACTTATACTACAACTGCTATTGCTGCTACTACCAGTACTAATACTACTACAGCTATTAGTACGACTGCTACTAGTACTACTACTACTGCTGTTACTGCTACTTCAAAAACTGACTTTACTATTACTACTACTTCTTCTTCTACTACTACTGTTATATTAAGTACTACGACCACTACTACAGCTATTACTACGACTACTGATACTACCACTTCTACTACTTCTTCTAATTACTAATACTTCTACTACAACTACAACTTCTACTACAAATATCACTACTGCTACACCTAGTACTTATTATAATGCTACTAATACTTCTACTGCTAATAATACTTCTACTACAACTAAAACTTATACTACAACAAATATCACTACCTACTGTTTCTCTTTATTCAACTTCCTTTTATATTTCTTCCGTACGTATTTTGCTACTTAACTCCTTCCACATTTTTTAAGCTACAGAAACCGTTTGAATATCTAAATGTTCAGCTCTTTCAGGAGAGGGGTGATATGACTTCATATTTGTAATCTTTAAGCCTTTTGAATTATTAAGCCTTTTGAATTATTTTTGCAATATTTTTTGAAAGGGATCTCTATGGAGAAAATCTTCAAATCCTGTAAAACCTTTTCAACTTTCAAAGCCTTCTTCTCATACTTTCAGCTACAGACACCATAGTTCAGCAGTGCAGTTTAAATGCTTTCGGGCTTCAACATTTTTCAGACAGGTAGTCTCCCATTTCTGTACTTTCAGCAATGTTTATGCAATTCATTTCAGCTTTCAGCATTCCAACGCATTTTCAGCAGGAAATGCATTTTCTAGTTTTATTTTTATATTTCTTCCGTACGTTTTTTCAAACTCTTCTGCTCCTTCATATTTTAAGCTACAGAAACCGTTCAAATATCAAAATGTTCAGCTTTTTCAGGAGAGGGGTGCTATGACTTTTCATAATTATAATCTTTAAACTTTTTGAATTATTAAACTTTTTGCACATTTTTCTTTGAATGGGTTTCTATGGAGAAAATGTTCAAATCCTCTTCAACTTTCAAATCCTTCTACTTCCTCATATTTTCAGCTACAGACACCATTTCAACTTTCAAATGTTGAAAAAACCCTGAACTATTGCCACATAATTCAGCGTTCTGATATCTTTTAAACTTTTTAAACTGCAGCATTTTAACTTTTATGATTTTTTCAGTCCTTTTCTGACTTTATAATGAGGGTGTATTGCGCAGCTTAGAGTGCGTGATGTCACCGCTAGAGTGAAGATCAGCTTGAGATTTTTGTGAAAATTCCCACTGTGTCCACAATCTTCACTCTTCATGCATAATATCTGGATTTAAAAGTAGCTAATCTTGTCCTTGTCGTAGACAAATGACTGTGGAATCCCACAGATTTACACATTTGGCACAGAAGCCTGTAATTGAGAGGAAAACCAACTTTCTGCTCCATAGAAACCAATGTTAAATTTTCAGCCACATATTTTACACTACAGACACAATTTTTACAGGATCTGTTCTTCAACTCATCCTTCCTCTCATTTCCCCCCCCCCCCCCACACACACCCCATTTCAAAATAAAAGCCCCACAGAATGAATTCTAACTGAAATGCTTATGATGAAGCCTGAGATTTAATAACCTGTTTGTTTATCTAACATTATGAGTCCATCTCTTCTCCCCCCCCACACCCCATTTCAAAATAAAACCCCCATATTGTGAATTCTAACTGAAATGCTTGTGATGAAGTCTGTCATTTAATAACCTCTCTGTTTCATACTTTCTGATTCTGTCTCCTCCTCTCTCCCCCACCCAGCCCCACCCTTTCAAAATAAAAGCCCCATGGATTAACTGTATTTAAACATTAAGCTCAAAAGTCGGAACTTTATCAAAACGTAGCAATCAGGTCCTAAAGCTATTTTTTATTGCGATCCACGATAAAATTGTATATAGTACCATCCCCAAGAGAGAACAATGATGAGTCTGAAATTTGTTTTTTGTAATAAAGCGTAATGCACTCTGATGCACAGGGTTTAAAAGCAGCATGATGATACAGAATATCTTCATGGTCAAGGACAGACATGAAGGTTGATGGACATCCTTTAATTCTATACTAGAAGCCTAGTTTGATTTTTACATGGTGAGTCAAACGTTGAATATGAATCTTGAGTTTCTGCTGTCCAGCCAAATTCGAATGACTCAGCAAGAGTAATGTGAGTGCCATTTAGAGTTTTAATGGCAGGAAAGTCAGTGTCACTGGCGGAGGTGGAAAAAACAATGTTCTTTGCCAGTTCTGCATTTATAAGTAGTCTATGATTAAGGAGTGATAATTGGAAAGCATCAAAGTCAGACTGAAGATGAGTCAGGGCCTGGGCTACTTATGAATTTTTATTTATTTATTGTTGACAGACTGACTGAATGAATGTGTATCTCGTACACTGGAAGGTGGCTTTTATTTTGATGTCAGTTCTTACAGTCCCTCACAGTAATTCCTAGTATATACATGTACCGCAGAACAACGTGGGTCTAGTTTGACACTCTTTTTTTAAAGTAGAGACTGCCGTCTTCTATTCCTGTTTCCAAACTCAACGCGTAATCTCGGTTTGGCGCTTCACTCCTTTCGCTCTCTCTAGGCTCTTTCCCTGTTCCCTGCTCCAGATACAAAAACACACGCCTCATACGTCACACACTCGCCCACTTCTGTTAGTGTCTGTGATAAGTAGAGAGAAGTGAAATGCCAAAGTGGGTCTCATGCCGGCGGCTTAAAAGAAAATTTGTGAAAATTTGTATTTGAAGTTTCCTGGACCAGGCATACATCAAGTATGTTCAATTTATCAGTCTCCCCAACATATAACTGAACATCCAAAGTTTTGTCCTTCTCTATGTCCTCCTGTCTCCCACATCCCCCCTGTGAACAGTGCAGAATGTGGGGGTGAGGCAGTGGGGCGCCTAGGGGAGATGTCCAAGGCCCAGGCCCTGGCCAGCTTGCTCTCCTGCCCTCTGCTGGAGGATTTAAGTGAGTGGAGTCAATGGGAGCTGATCTTCAAACCACTTCATGGCTCCCTCAGAGATTTCATCGAAAGAAATGCAGGTAGGATGTGGCTGGATCATTTCTAGATAAATGTACTACACCTCTTCCTGCGCTGTGAAATTTTAATTCTGCTCTGTGTTTCTCAAGCATGCCCATTTGATGGAAGAAAAATGTAGTAAATGTTTAACATTTTTGTGGGGAAATATGGTTGTTTTTATTTACTAAAACAGCAAATACAGGCCTGGCAGCGTTGGAGGTGACACCAGGTTTGCTCCTCAGGATCACCACACACACAGGTGACAAGCATTTCTCCAGTGCCACTGTGATCCTCGACCCCGTCGGCACAGCCGGCCACCTCCTGTCCATGGTAGTTGCTGATGGGATCGTCAATGCTCCCACTGCCCTCCTGGCCAATCACATGCAGAGCTCCCTGGCAGCAGCTGTGGCTAAAGAAGGTAGTGACACATCAGGACTGATTTAAGTTCACCTTGTTTAAAGCTGGAATAATGCATTGTATTTTGAGTGCAGCATGTGTGTGTCATCATTACTGATATAATATTTGTGTTCCTTAGATTTGTCCCAGGCTGAAGAGGATGTGTCATGTTACACTAGAGTGGCCAAATTCCTCTTGGCATGTTTGACACGAATCCCCACTAGAACCTGCCAGGCGCTTCTGAAGCAGGTCAGTCACACTACACTGGAGAGTTCAGGATCTAATCACATAGCTTTTGTTTTACCATTTACCATGTTAAGTTAATCCCCTGGCTCCTTAAAGAAGGCTCAACAAGAAATATTTTTTTTCTTTTTATATATGTCGATACTCAGAGTGTATAAGTAGGAAACATTCTTCAGCAAACAGATCTTTCTTCACTTTGTTTATTAGTTTTCTCATTTAAGAAACAGACAAGGTGTGTGTGTGGTAAATACATTTTATAGCAAATGAACAATACAACAAATTCGCAGCTGCTCAAGTCTATATGTTATGAAAGGTTGCCATTCACTGCTTAGATTAGGTCCTCGTAGAGCAAATCTTATCTTCAGCTTCAAAAACTGTAGTGCATCTCTAATCCGAAGTTGAAAGGAGGAAGGGGTAGCCTGCTTTCAATTGCGTAAAATGAGTCTTCTGGCTAAAAGAGTGACATGAGCGATGCAATTTGACTGTTCCTCAGGAAGATGATCAACCAAAAATGGCTGTAAGAGGAGTTAGATCGATTGGTCTATCAAGTATCTTGGATAGGGCATCAGAAATGGAGGACCAGTCACCAGTCAGTTTTCTACATTTCTACATCTATTCATCAACCGGATACAGAGATTGCAGACTTCAGACAGATGAAGTCTGTGTGCCATCTTGAATTGAATCAGGCCATGTCTGGCATATACTGATGAGGAGAGTTTATCTGACCATCATCTGTAAATTGTACACTCAGATCAGCCTCTCTCCGATGCCGTCTGCTTACATGAATGTTTCATATATAAAATAGACTGTCTTTGAGAGATGGAGCTGTTGGGAATAAATAATTTATAGGCTGCTTTTCAGGGATTGCAGGAAACGATCCTGTGTGGTTACGGGCCCGATCCAAAAGCAATTCAAAATATATATATATATATATATATAT